CCCAACCCACTATCCCCACCTTGCCTCAGTCTGGGCTACTGCCAGTTATCACCAAGCTCCCACTCCCTGGGGCAGACTGCAGTGTAAAGGCCACTCATCATAGGCAAGGGGGTTCGGACCTTTTGCATTCCTCTGCCTCCCAGTACCTCTATGGGCCTTGGACCAGGCCCTACAGCCTGGGGAGTTGCCAGCCTGGAGCGCCCCCCACTCAGCCTGCTCCTTCCCCAGCACTGCACCACCCTCAGTACCCTGTCAGGCAGGCTCTGCTCTCTCCCAGCCTGGAGAGAGACTCCTTGGGCCTCTGGCTTACAGCCTTCTTATACAGGCCAGCTGGGGCCTGATTGGGGCATGGCCCAGCTGCGGCTTCTTCCCCAATCAGCCATCCCCAGCCACAGGTCTCTCCCGGGGTGCTTTTAACCCCTTCTATTTTAGGAGCACGGTAGCCACATGACTCCAAGATCTTTCTCCTGATTAGTTGTAGCTAAATTAGCCCCCATCATATTGTATGTATAGTTGGGGTTATTTTTTCCAATGTGCATTACTTTACATTTATCCACATTAAATTTCATTTGCCATTTTGTTGCCCAATCACTTAGTTTTGTGAGATCTTTTTGAAGTTCTTCACAGTCTGCTTTGGTCTTGACTATCTTGAGCATCGTCTGCAAACTTTTCCATCTCACTGTTTACCCCTTTCTCCAGATCATTTATGAATAAGTTGAATAGGATTGGTCCTAGGACTGATCCTTGGAGAACACCACTAGTTACCCCTCTCCATTCTGAAAATTTACCGTTTATTCCTACCCTTTGTTCCCTGTCTTTTGACCAGTTCTCAATCCACGAAAGGATCTTCCCTCTTATCCCATGACAACTTAATTTACGTAAGAGCCTTTGGTGAGGGACCTTGTCAAAGGTTTTCTGGAAATCTAAGTACACTATGTCCACTGGATCCCTCTTGGTCACGTTTGTTGACCCCCTCAAAGAACTCTAATAGATTAGTAAGACACGATCTCCCTTTGCAGAAACCCTGTTGACTTTTGCGCAACAATTTATGTTCTTCTGTGTGTCTGACAATTTTATTCTTTACTATTGTCTCAACTAATTTGCCCGGTACCGGCGTTAGACTTACCGGTCTGTAATTGCCAGGGTCACCTCTAGAGCCCTTCTTAAATATTGGCGTTACATTAGCTATCTTCCAGTCACTGGGTACAGTAGCTGATTTAAAGGACAGGTTATAAACCATAGTTAATAGTTCCGAACCATAGTTAATAGTTCCGCAATTTCACACTCCTGATTTAGGACCAAATCCTGAGCCCACTGGAGTCAACAGAAAGGCTTCTATAGACTTCAGTGGGCTTTGGCTCAGGCCCTTCTACACGTGTAATATGGGATCTGGAGATTCCATTGAAGCAAAATTCCTAGGTCCTCATCCAGCACCTACTTCACTTTGAAGTTAAGGGACCTTCTCCCATAATTAACATTTAGCATGTGCCTAAGGGCTCTGCTGGCTAAGCATGGAGTTCAACAGGAACAGGATAGGGCCCCTAATCACAAAGGACAACGCCAAAGATCCAGTTCCCGTAGCATGACCTCGGCTCCATTGCACATAAGCAGCATCTACCATCCCTCTGTTTCTGGCAAAATACGCAGCTCGGTATATTACTCTTCATACCGCACTGCCTTCTGGCTGTGTTAACTTGGCTCTTGGAACCATCACATTTACATGCCCTGGCTTTTGGTGATCTTAACTGGCCATAAGCAGCATTGCATTATTTTGTTTGGTTTTCATTTGGTGTAAATCAAATCTTCCTCCACCGCTGTATCCAAATTACAGCTGGCAGAATTCTACTGTTAATTATTAGAGTGAGGCACTCATTAACTATGGGGGATGGGCATGTTATAAGAACACAGATAAATAATACCTGGCTCTTACATAGTGCATTACATCAGCAGATCACAAAGCACTTCACAAAGGAGGTTCGTATCATTGTCCCCATTTTACAGATGGGAAAACTGAGGCACAGAGTGGGAAAGTGACTTGCTCAAGATTATCCAGCAGGCAACTGAACCCAGGTTATCCTGGCTCCCAGTTCAATGCTCTCTCCACTATCCAAAGTGAAGATAATGGAAGTCATAAGGGGGCTCAGCTTGCAGGCTGGGCATCTTGTCCAGTAGGCTTCTTGGGCAGGAGTTACTTTTTTTGTTGTGTTCATGCCACGCCCACACAATGGGGACCTGACTCTGGGCAACGCGGGAGATCAAAGAAGAACAAAGGGACATACAGCCCTTAAATGTACATTCTTTTGTAAAAAGAAAAGGAGTACTTGTGGCACCTTAGTGACTAACCAATTTATTTGAGCATAAGCTTTTGTGAGCTACAGCTCACTTCATCAGATGTAGTTGACGAAAGCTTATGCTTAAATAAATTGGTTAGTCTCTAAGGTGCCACAAGTACTCCTTTTCTTTTTGCGAATACAGACTAACACGGCTGTTACTCTGAAACCGTTCTTTTGTAAATAAGAGCTAGCAAGGAAAGGGTCTCTGTGTTGGGTTTGTACAGAACCTAGCACAACAGGGCCCTGACTGGGGCTCCTCGACAGTTACCACCATCCAAATGATAAATAATGTCACAGTTCCAGGCCCAGCTGCTCTGCTGTCCTCTTGCCGAGTGTGTCCCCTCAGGTGTCAGGCCTCAGGCTTTTACCTCTCCTGAGGTGAAATGCTGCAGTTCTCCAACTCAGAGACCCGGCCCTGGGCTACAGCCCCCTGTGGGTCAGCCGACATGTCTGTCCAGGTTCAGCCCATGCAATTCCTCCCTTCAGGAATCGGGGACCAGCCATGAACACAGTGACCAGATGGCCTTCTTAAACCACAGCATTGTTTATGTTAAAAAAAGAAAATCAGAGAAAAAGGATTTGGAACCAATGATCTACACCTCTCACCATCCCCTGCCAGTAACCTAGGCAGACCAAGGTCACAGCCTGGCTCATCAAAACACCCCCTTCCTCCTTGAGAACATGTTCGCTTTTAAACCTGCCAGATTTCTGCATTCATCAGCCTTTCCCTGTCTTGGCCTGATCTCTCACCAGCTCTGAAGTGTTCACGGAGAAGTGGCTTATCTTGAGCCATTCTTTCCCCTCCTGCTTGTTTTTCCCCCAACAGCCCCTTGTTAAACTAAACCCATATATTCTTCGAGTAGCACCCCAATAGAATCACCAAATAACCAGCTTACCAATACCCAACTCAACAGGCAGTATGCATGAGTAATTGCAGAGCAAGTCCAAATCTGTCACAAATAACAATAAAACCACGGCACAGCGCATGGGGCATAGATACATGTGCAGTTTAGGAATCCTAGAACGCATCCAGATTTGGGAAGAGTTCCATCTTTGTGCTAAACTCTGTTTGTTTGATTGTGAAGCCATAGTCCCTACTCCCTCCTTCCCACTGGTTCTCTGTCTTGTCCACCTATTGCATGCCGTCTGAAACTTTGGCCCCCTTCCTGCAATGGACTGAGCATGGGTTCACCACCTTTACTTGATCGGTGCCCCAGTTGGGGTCTGCAGGAGCACAGGGGCCCACCCACATGCAGTGCTGGACTCTAAGCTCCCCTTCTTTGCTAGTGGTATGTACAGGATCACAAAATAAAATAAGAACCACCAAAACAACAGCAGCAGGACCTAGAGGCCCCAGATAAATCCAGGGCCCCATTATGCTGGGTGCTGTACAAACACCCAGTGAAATCCAGTTCCTGCCCCCAAGGAGCTTACGATCATCATAGACCAGACAAAGGGGAGGGAAACAGATATAAAACACTGAAGTGACTTACCCAAGATTACACAGCAGGTCCACTGCAGCACTGGGAGCAGAACCCAGGTCCCCTGACTCCCTGCCCGGTGCTTTATTTGCTAACCAATTTATGTGTTTAAATCCAGGACCGGGCATTTTGGGGAAAAGTTATTGGAATGGCTCCACAGTGTAGATCTTCTCCAGGTCAGCTCACTTACAACCCTCCTGTCCCTGTTATGTATGGGTGAAGGAGATCTTACCCTAGATGCCTTTGGTGTGGGAACCGTTTCTGGAGGGCCTTGTCCCTGCAGTCTAGGAGGAAGCCCTGCCTCCCTGAGCTAGATTCTCCTCTGTCTCTCTGGATTTTTTCCTCTGGTCCCTTTTGTTTTCTCAGAGAGAAAAACAAATTGCAGCTCCAGGATGTCATGAGGGGCAAAGTCCAGCGCTGCCTTTCGCCACTAACTGCTCTGCCTACAGATCTAAAAATCATCCCCATGAGTAGGTTTATATGCAGCCTGGGAATAAATACAGTAATGCTCTCTCTATAGCCAGAGCTATTTGAATCTACTTTCATTTCTCCCATTCCCCTCCCCGCTCAGATACGCAAAAAACAATAATAAAATATTACAGTTAAACATTGAATTTTCAAAGCTACAGTTTGCAACGTTTCCATTCAAATAAACAATGCAAGGCTGAGCAACGAATAAACACACAGGCAGGGGAATAGCAGCTGGTTGTAAAAGCACAGGGGTTGCTTTGATTCAGGCAATGCTTTCTGACCAGGCTCTGTGCTCAGGGGCTGCCAATCCGGCCCTGGTGTAAGGCCAGGCACTGCAGTCGGGTTTCCCCCGGGAGGAATTGGACCCAAGATCTTCACCCCCCAGCATACAGCCCTGGTGAGTGGCAGGGAGGGCGAGCACTGCGGCTGATGCTAGGCTGTTCCTAGACGGACATATCCCCCCACCCAGCACCCTGCTGTGTGCGCAGGATCAGAGCCCGCCGGCGGCTGGAGGGGTCTCTCTCTGTCCCGGGGGGGGGCCCGCTGCTGCTCCCCCTCCCTCGCCCAGGTGGCCAGTGGGCTGCACCGCAGCCCCGTGATGGAGGCACCAGCCCGCCGAGGCGATTGGTCTGCGAAGCGGTGACGTCGTGGAGCACCATCACCTCCTCTTCCCCATCATCATCATCAGCAGCCCCCCCCCCCGCTCCCCCCCCCCAGGCCCATCTTCAGCTTCCCGGTCTCCCCCTCCTGCGCAGGCAGCTGAGCGCACAGCCCGGGCGAGCGGATTTGTACAAACCAGAGAGCAGCAGGAAAAGGGGGAGACGAGCCCCCCCCCGCCACCCCCCGCAAGGCACCAGGGCATCATGGCTCCCATTGGGCTCAAGGCTGTGGTTGGAGAAAGTAAGAGGATGCTTCTCTTGTGGGTCTATTTCCCCTTCTGATCGCTCCCCTCCCTTCCCCGGGCTGTGCGGGTGGAGGCTGGATCGGGGGGGGGGATCTGGGAGGTTAGATGGGCTCTGTTTGGATGTGGGAGTGTGGGTGGGGGGCGGGGGGGGCAGGATCTGATGGGGAAACGGACCAGAGTCTTGGTAATCTTTTGCAGGAGAAAATAGAAAGTGGGGGCGGGTTTGGAATTGCAGATGCGCAATCCGGACCCTTGCAGTCAGGATCAACGGCCAGCTGCGGGTGGCGGGGGGAGATAAAGGGGGCAGGGGAATCAAACCAGAGGAAACTGGAGAAACACATGGGGAAATGGGGGTGTATGGGGGGGTGTTGCCATTGTTTGATTGAGGGAGGGGGGCGGTTGGGATTTTTCTGCAGTGCTGGGGGAGGGAGATGGAAAGGGACAGCAAGCTGAGCCGTTTCCCCAGGCTCTGGGTCCTAGTGGCTTTGTCCAGCAGGCAGCGGTCGCCTGATTATCCCAATAAATAATCATAGGAATGATCATCATTAATAATAATTAATAAATACATCCCAGATGATTCCCCAGAGCCTCCGGGCATGGGAGGGCGGGGGTGGGGGGGGGGGAGGGAGAAGGAGGAGTGATCTCTGCCCGGGCCAATAATAAATAAACACAAAATTACCGGCTCCTTCGCCGACATTGGCTGCGTTATTTTGCGCAGGCACAGACAGCCCTTGCTGCTACGCCAGGTCCTGCAGTGTCAGGGCAAAGCCTTCTGGACTCCCTGCTCCCACCCCCAAAATCTAATCATACCGTGCAAGCAGCACCCAGCTTTCCCTTCCCATCAGGAACATGCCCCCAAGGTGGTGGAAGCTGTTCAAGCTACCCAAAGAAATGGTTCAGATAAAGGCTGACTCTTCTCTGGGCTTTGAGCTGGACACTTTGGCAACCAGGGTATTTCTTTGTGCAGTTGCTCTGATTGGGGGGGCATAAGCTCTTGTGTATGAATCCAAGGTGCTATTTTTGGCTCACGGTTGATATCTTCTCTAGCTGGGGGGCGGAGGGGGGAATCTATGATTCTCCCCCCCCCCCATGGTGTTATTCTTAGTATCCAAATAAGGGGTTCTTATTTTTGGAGTGTATGCAGCTGGGCAAGTGGGGAGTTCCTGTACAGAGTGCCTGCATTCCTCGTGCCATAATAATCTAATCGAGAAACTTTTATGCCTAAACAACTAACAACAAAAACGGTATAAAATGGTGACAACTTCCTCTGAGTCCCCTCTGCCATGAATCATGTAAATCCTTCACTCTCTTTAAATTAATTAACCTTGTATTATTTATTTAAATGGAAACCAGGCAAAATGTCACCTTAAAAAGTCATCGTTCAATTTTTTTGTGTGTGTGTGTGTGTGCTTAGTGGTGGGAATGGGAGAAATACATGTCAATTTGAATAGCTCTGGCTACCGAGAAAGCGCTCCTGGAGCTTTGTGCATTAAGAAGGCAGGGTCTTATTTAACAATCCTCCACACCACAGCCTCGGCTCCAGTCTGCAGATGGTGCGGCTGAAGTGCGGTGGTGTGACTGTTTGGTGGGATGATCCCATTAGATTTATGTCCTGCTTTTGTTCCAAGAAATCACCTACCCAGAGAGCTAACAGACAGCTCTGCACCAGTCTCGCTCTGCTTTATTTTCCAAAACCCTACAGCTCAGCTGTGGCTCGGTCAACTCCGTCAGGGGGGAGAAAATCCTTTGGTTCTAGTGCTGCAAGATAATCCTGGAGGGGGGTGAGGTGGCATTTAAAATGTTTTGCTGCATTTAATTCTCTGGCACTAGATTGTCCTCTTTCACTCTCTAGCGTGTGAAAAGTAGGTTATGAAACCGATGGGATGCACAATGTATCGCTGCGTTCCTGAAGAGCATTCCTTGGAAAAGCTAAAGGTCTCATCCGACCCTCCTTCCTCAGTCAAAACCCCCAAAGGCTACAATCTAAATGTATCTTGTAAACCTTCCATTCCTTGAACAAAGACCAGTAGCTGGAAGCTAGTGATGTGGACTTTTCACATATTTTCTTTCTTTGCTTGAATACAATAGCATTGGCCTGCTAAACCCAAGGTTGTGAGTTCAATCCTTGAGGGGGCCATTTAGGGATCTGGGGCAAAAATTGGGGATTGGTGCTGCTTTGAGCAGGGGGTTGGACTAGATGACCTCCTGAGGTCCCTTCCAACCCTGATATTCTATGACAACATTAACCATCACAAGTCACACACACTTTCTTGTTCTAACCACCATGATGGGCATCTGACTGAAGGCAAAACTCTAGCCTTCAGGAGTCTTATAACAAACTGCACTGTTCACAGAATCACAGAATATCAGGGTTGGAAGAGACCTCAGGAGGTCATCTAGTCCAACCCCCTGCTCAAAGCAGGACCGATCCCCGACTAAATCATCCCAGCCAGGGCTTTGTCAAGCCTGACCTTAAAAACTTCTAGGGAAGGAGATTGCACCACCTCCCTAGGTAACGCATTCCAGTGTTTCACCACCCTCCTAGTGAAAAAGTTTTTCCTAATATCCAACCTAAATCTCCCCCACTGCAACTTGAGACCATTACTCCTTGTCCTGTCCTCTTCTACCACTGAGAACAGTCTAGAGCCATCCTCTTTGGAACTCCCTATCAGGTAGTTGAAAGCAACTATCAAATCCCCCCTCATTCTTCTCTTCTGAAGACTAAACATCCCCAGTTCCCTCAGCATCTCCTCATAAGTCATGTGTTCCAGTCCCCTAATAATTTTTGTTGCCCTCCGCTGGACTCTTTCCAATTTTTCCACATCCTTCTTGTAGTGTGGGGCCCAAAACTGGACACAGTACTCCAGATGAGGCCTCACCAATGTTGAATAGAAGGGAACGATCACGTCCCTCGATCTGCTGTTCTTCCCTCAAAAGAGCTTTTTTAATCTGTAAGATAACCAGTAGCTGGGTATCCCTCTAATATAAGAGTATCTATAATACTCACGCTAGATTCTCTCCCTGGGCAGGGAAATGCTGCATAGGACACAGGTAATTTGGACTGTGATTGTCCAGAGAGCTCCATGCAATCTGACCCCTGTTGGCTTCATTGGGGCTTGGGATTCTGCCTACAGAGAGCTTTCGTTGTAGGATCAAGGCCTTGGAGAGAGTTTGCTCTCCATTTCCTTGGAATTGTCCTATCTGGGAGGTGGAGCTCATCCCCTGACCATAGGTCCCAGCTATCTGCGTGGGAGTCCTGTGCTTCCTCATGGCCTCCTGACCAGAGTGGTTCCTGCAGGACTTCCTCACTGGCCCTGCCCACCTTTTCCCATGGGTTCACTGGGCAGTTGCCCACACTGTGCAAGGTAATGCTGACTATGAAGATTATTGTGGGCTGGGATGTCCAGGAGGTTTTTGTGGCGGTGGTGGTGGTGGTGGTGGTGGTGGTGATGATGATGCCATGGAGAACAGTTGTCCTGATCCCGAGGCCACCCACTGATCCTGTGCACAGATGGGGTTACCTCTTGAGTGGAGAAGGCAACGGAGCATCATCCTGCCATGGCTCCCTCTTTTACATGGCCCCACTCTTCAAAGAAAGGCACCGGGCCTGGCTCCCCTCTAGCCCTTGGTGATAACTTTGTAGACTTGCCTCTGAATTCGCAGCCAACTCTTGTCATGATGATACCTTTTCTGGGGCCATTCCATCCAGTACGTCACCCCTTCCAGTCACCCCTTCCACCCACCCGGTGTTGCGTTTGAGAGCAAACACTGTGCAGCCCATGCGGTTGCAAAAAAGTCTCATAATTCTCCCCAGAAAAAAAAAAAAGTCACATTCCTGGATGAAACTTTCCAGGTCTGGCCTCTGCCCACAGGCGTCTTGTAAATTCTGAGTAAAATCTCTCCAGCGTATCTGAGGACAGTGACGGTTAAACCCTGATTCCCAGCCCTTTCTATCACCATTTCATGAAACTCCGGTCCACCCTTTTTTGGGCAGGAGGAGGCTGGGGGGGGGGGGGGGGGAGATGAAGTTACCGTATTTGCCAGCTGCCCTGTTTGACCCAGGTTTGTCCCTATCTTTTAGAAGCCAACTGTGGTGCCTAGTGGAGCTGGCGTGATTGTTTTTAAACCACGTTGGCCTTCCAACAAGTAGAAGGAGATGTGCTAAGCAGGCAGGAGTGTGTCGGGGTGCAGAGCAGATGAGTTGGGGTAGAGTTTGTACCTTTGCCTTGGGATTTACTGGGGGATTCCAGCTCGCTCCAATGGGCTGCTCTTCCTGCAAGCAGTGGACAAAGCAGGTGGCTGCCAAACCACGTTAGAAGGGAGCATTGCACAACTTTAAACGAGCATGTTCCCTAACTGATCAGCAACGAAACAGTGTTAACTGGGACGACTTTAAGTGAAAAGGAGTACTTGTGGCACCTTAGAGACTAACCAATTTATTTGATAATAAATAAATAAATAAATAAATTGGTTAGTCTCTAAGGTGCCACAAGTACTCCTTTTCTTTTTGCGAATACAGACTAACACGGCTGTTACTCTGAAACCTGACTTTAAGTGAGGAGTTCCTGTACTTTGATCTCGGCCTTTGTGTCCCTGAATACAATGGGCCTGGAATACAGGGCAGAGTAATGAGCATCTCTGGTCATCTCCTCCCCAACTAGGTCCTAAGGCTATTTTCTTCCTCCCTTGGCCTGTTGGCAGTCTGCTTCTTTTTGCACCTCTCCTGGGCCAGCTGGGTTGGATTGTCAACTTGTTCCTCTGCTGAGTTCATAGAGCTTTCCCACACGGAGCCCCATTGCTTCGGTGAAGCGGTTATGGGTTAACAGTGCAGCTAAAGGAGAGCAGGCTGGTTATGGGTTTGTAAACAGTGCAGCTAAAGGCGAGCAGGCTGTAAACGCTGTGCCAGGTCCATTGCCCTCAGCCATTGCACACGCCTAGGATTCTCTTTCTCCTCTTTGAATTTAATTTCCTATTTATTATTACTGTTTCTTTTAAA